ACAGACGTTGAATTATTTAATTTAATTCTATAGAACATCTTCCTCAGAAAATTGAAAAAGAAGTTAATATAATTCAGGAGAAAAAAGTTTAAAATGAAAATTAATTCTGAAATATATAAATCAATACATAATTGAACTATTCATAGTTATTAAAAATGGTATTTTATCGATGTTTATATACACTCAGGATTGGAGAAGTATAATCGGAAGTGCTTTCACCCAAAAAGATGCTAAATTTATTAGAATTCTCCCTCATATATATTTTGTATTGAATGTGATAAACAAACTTATTCTGAATATAGATTTTGTGATCCACATGCTAGAAAGTATTATAAAAGGGAATAGTATCATTGAAAAAAGCTAGCTAAGCAAGTTGAGAATATGTTTTAGCAAACTATTTTAAAAATTCTGTCCTAGTTTCCATCCTAGTTGTCAAAATTTTTTAGAACAGATGAAATATAGCTAAATGGTAATTTTAAGATAAATGAAAGAAAAAAAAATAGTCTGTTCTAGTTGTTCTAGTTGTCCTAGTAAATTTCAGACTTCTTTACTTTTTTTTTTATTTTTTTTACTTATAGATATACCAGTATATAGCTATATAATATACATATTGTATATTATATATATAGCATAGGATGAATTACGTATTTTTTTAGAATTTTTATTTTTATTAAATAATTATAACAACTAGGACATAATATAAAAAAACAAGTTAAAATAAAGAAAGAAGCTTTTCTCTCATATTAAAACTTGTTCTAGTTCTCATCTTAATTGATCTAATAACTTAGATAACTAGGATGGATCATGTCTTCACATAGCAAATATGGAATTGCATTTTTATAGCATACATATATCACATAAATAGGAGGCAAAAAAAAGGAAACATGATCCTAGAAGGATTCATCCTGTAATTTTTATTATTGTCTATATATTCTTAGGACTAGAAAAGAGTGCAATTGGAGATGCTATAATCCAAAGAGATGTAAAGTCTATCAGAATTCTAGGCAAGTTTCTTGTAAAGAATGTGGTAAGCTAACAAGATCTGAATATGATTATTGTGATATACATGTAAAAAAACATAGATCGAGGGAACATTATTATCAGAAAAAGCAGGCTAAGTTAGCTTCAACGCAGATACTGTAGGTAATTTAGAGGTAAACAAAAATAATAGAACTTGTTACTAATGTTATAAGAAAAAAAAGCTTGTGACAGAACTAGTGACGCAGACAATAGGTTCTTTAGGAATTCTAGGCTGAAAGAAAATTTTCTTGATGAGTATCACTGGTATCACTAGTGTCACTGGAAAAAATCTGTGTTTCTTAACTTTTTTTTATTTTTTAGCATACATATTATATCCCATATAGATCATACGAATATCAAGAAAGACTTAAAAACATAGCTAGAATGTAAAAGTGATATAAGAAATAATAAAATATTAGATTATATGTGGTATTCAGACTGTATCATTTAGATTATATGTGGTAATTAGATCACATCATTTAGATCATATGCTGTATTCAGATTCTATGTGTTATTTAGATTACATGTGATATTCAGATATTTAGATCATATGTGATATTTAGATTATATGCGATACTATAATCTAGGCTAAGTGGGATACCACATGTAATATAAATTATATTACATGTGGTATCCCACTCAGTCGACCCCCTATCTAGTCACCTCCTATCTAGTCACTTCCTATCTAGTCACTCATCCCTTATAAGCACAGATTTGTTAGGCCGAAGTTAAATAATAAGCTTATTAAAATCCTCTTCTATAGTCACATCATATAACTTTTTTATAATCTCACCAAATTTTTTTGGTCCCGAGGGGTGTGACTATATAGGAGGTTGACTGTACGTACTTAATCTTATGCTTTTCTTTCTGCTTCTTATCGTCAAACCCGCCCAAAAAACACATTCGCGTTATTGTAGAGCAACCGGTTGCTGGTAAGTGAGTCGTAATAAATTTGGTTAACGCGAGTAAACGTTGACTAACCATTATCGTTTCGTTGTTACCTGCGCTGTGTCATTAATAATATCATTATTCCAAACCTATACCGTTTTTATTCGCTGTAATGTCATTTTCTAACTCGTGCCTTGCATCCTATAAATTTTTTTTTATTCGATTAGGGAAAAGAAAAGCGGAGGAAGGCAAGGAAAATTGAAGCCGAAAGAAAGGAAAACCTGAGTATCCTTCAGAATCAAAAGAAGGCCGTGATAGTCTTTTTTCTGTTTCAGGTGAAAGATTAAATAATATCATTAAATTTTTGGAAAGGAATCGCGTTGGCCTTTTGCGAAGTCCACCATCGTCGGGAAAAACTATCCTTGATCCTACGCTCCGGGACTATTATACTGATCGTAGTGTCTGCATAAGTCTAGCTGGGATAGGTGGTAGAGATCAAATAAGCGAGGAAGCTTTTGAAAATTTCTGGAGGAACGAAGTTGGTAGTAGCTGGGCAGAAACCAGTGATTGCACAGAGACCATTTATGTTTTCATAGACGAAATACTAATATTTAGGTAATCGCGTTAATTACTTTTGGAGTAAAGTGAAAATACTGATGTCAAGCGAGTGCAAAAATGATATCCATATACTCCTTTTTGGTACATACGATCCAATACTTAAGGATGAAGTGACACCTGTGAAATTTAGTGACAACGATACTCTTAGCCTGAAATCCTTACTCTAGCAGAGGAAGGATCTTATAAGATTTTATGTTCGGATGCGCGTTTTGGGAGGTAGCCCATTGTTTAAGATTCCCCAGAAAATTGAGGGTGCGATCTTTTCTCATATTGGCTTGTGTCGATTTATTTTAGATTTGTTATACGTTCGTTATAATGATAATTCAAATCATTTTCTAGCCGAAAGAAGTGATGCGTTATCTTGCTTCGCCAAGTTTAACTATTAATGTGATGAAAGGTTCATGTGCATTTTATTGGATTGATAATTGGAATCCAACCGAAGGAGAGGTCAAATTTATTCGCCATGTATTACTTAACAATCAAGTTGGTAGCTTCTTTCCTGTTGACTATAGCACAGATAGTGTTGCTAAGAATTTTATTAAGATGGGACTTTTCGTAGTGAATTTTAGACAAGTACCCCTATCTTTCGAATTGTTTTGAGTCACCACTTGTTCCTCTTATAAAATAACCTACACACAACTTTGAGGAATTTTTGAAGCGAACCATAGAACGAACTTATGACAGATTCCGATGAAAAATTGGGCTATCATTGATTTCCGATGCTATCAAAAAGAAGGTAGGGAATTAAAAACAAAACTTTTGGTATGTGCTTTATGCGAATGACTATAAAGTGTTACTATCAAAAGTAGTGGTCAGCATGACGAAGTTCTTACTTTGAAATGTGATAATGTGTAAATTTTTATTATTGAGAAACTATGAACATAATAAATTCATATGTGCTAATTTGCGAAACAAAGATTTAGTACCTTATTTTAACTTTTTTTTTTTTATATTAAACAATTTATATTTTGGATTTAATAAATTTAATAACATAAATGTGTATTATTAAATTAAAGCCATATTTTAATTTACACTTTTTTATAACTACTCGAAAAATTTGCTTTGCTTAAATATATCAAATGTTTGATTGGTCCGTTTTCAGCTGATACCTATTTTTGGATCATCCAAATCATGCTTGACTCATGTGAAAATGAAAAGATTTCTTGTTACAAAATTTTTTTTTTTTAATTCTGTCGCGAAATGATAAAATTTATCACCTGGACTTATCTTTTCATCTCTCTTATGAAGAGATTGATTCGATATTGTTTTGCAGCTTTAGGTTTTTTTATTGGGGGGTTTTTTTTTTCGCGCCATTATTTTTTCAATGGAGAAAATTTATTATTATTATTTTTTTCTTTTTGATAAATGCAGCCAATTTAAACTGTTCTGAGAAAATTGTTCTCCATTTTTAACTTTTCGAACAAGTTTTTTTATTAAAAAAAAATTAAAGTTTACGAAAAGGAAACGGACACATTGTGAAATTCATGACATTCGCTTGGACCATATCAATCGATCAATGCAATTGACGTGATACAGACCCTTTTTATCAATAACTTAGGGAAAATAAAGTTCATCCGGAACTTCGGCATATTCCTTCTAAATGACGTTAAAGGGATGAACAAAGATTTCGAAATAAGATAACAATATATTGAAACACAAAATAGGCTGAAAACTATTCAAATGTAACAATTAACTAACAAAATAGGATGTTTTCTTTATGAAACAACAATATAAAATTGTAATAATCAAAGGTGATCAATTCCAAAATTGTAAAATGTAATATATTATAATTATATATAAAAAAATTTTTTTTTCATTTAAATGAGTTTCATGAATAAAAAGGTAAAATTCCCAAAATTCCTCCTTTTTTTTTTGCGAATTTTTGTTCATTTTTTTTTTTTAAATCATTTTTCAATTGAAAATTTTTTTTTTATTTTCTTTTATATATATATATAAATATATATATTAAAAATCTCTTGATTCCTTTAAAGATAAACAATGGATTACCTTGGAAAAAAATCCGGAAATAAAAATACTGAACCAGAGATTAATCCTCAAAAACCGATAAAAAAAACTTCGTTAATATTAGATGCTGCGGGATTTGCATTTAATCAACCGAAATTCAATAATCCAGGAATAAAATCTTTTTCAGATATTTTACATAACACAAAAACAAAACCAAACAACCAAACAATTGATGAAGGAAGTGATAGTTCCGATGATGATAATGATGATGACGAGTCCGTCGGAAGTGACTCATCTTCCACAACTAGGGTAGAACAAGTTAAACCAAAAGTTGTACACCAGAACAAAAATGTAAATGATATTCAAACAAATAAAAAGCCACAGGCAAAAGTTTCAGCTTCGAATATTATTACGGATTTTAATAAATTTGAATTTGACTCTGGATTAAGAAAATTAGGTGGTAGAGCAGCAAACGTTCAGTCCGATATTTCTCCTAGAAACGTAAAATCAAATTCAAACACTGAAAAAACTGTTAAATCCGATTTTGTAAGTGGACCAACCGCTAATCCTTCAAGGATTAAATCTACCCAAATGATGCCGGTTGAAGAACCAAACTATAATCGTTCAGATATTTGTTCGGATGTTTCCTGGGGTAGTGATCCAGGCCAACAACATCAATATCAACAGCAACAACCCCACCACCAACAACATCAACAAGCGACTAGTCCAACTGTAAAAGTCAATCCTAATTTTATTATAGGAAATCAAAGTTTTCAACCAAATTATGCTACCCGTTTTAATAATTTACCTCATAAAAATGAATGGGGCACAAAATCACCGGACTCTCGTTCCGAAATTATGTATAATGGAAAAGATAAATTAGTTTCTTCTAGGCATAATAATGTGGCTAGAAATCCAAGATTTAATCCAAATTTTCCTTCCGGGACTCCAAAAACCATGTCAGATGTAACTTATCAACCTAAAGAATTAAGAACCCATTACAATGATCCTGAAAGTTTTTCTTACGGTGGAAATTCTCATCAACGTAAACCAACTGTTTCAGCAACTGCTCGTATTCCTTATTCAATTGATGAAAACGAACACAACCCCACTTATGTTAGAGATACAAATGTACAACATAAGCCAAAAGTAGTTGTTGGACCACAAAAGAGAGTTGTACTCTCTCATTTTGACGAAGAAGAAGAGGACCAAGTAGAATCCGATGATAACGATACGGTACAAAATGCGGAAGAAGAAGTTGATGAAGAGATTGATGAATTAATTAATATGACTGAGGATGAAAGCATTCAAAGAAAGGTGATTAATAATCAGTTATACTTTTTCGTTAATATGTTTTTAAATATATATATTCAATATTTGTATTTTATTTTTTTAGCTGCTTGAACTTCATTATTCTAATCTAGAACTTCTCAACATAAACAAATCGCTTGAGGAAAATATCAACGAACAATCAATTGAAATTGAAAGTTTTCCCTCCTTTGATTCATTGTTAAAATCTCAGAAAGAACAAGTTGAACATATTACTAGCCTTGAAAATATAATAAAAGATTTAATTTCTAAACTATCAGATCAAGAAACTCAAATCAAAAAAATTAAAGATGAAAATAATGAAAGGTTAGTTTTCTTTTTTTTAAAAAAAATTTTTTTTTTTTTTTTTTTTTTTGTCAATTATTATAAATCATTAAAATAATTTATTACTATATTTTGTTGCCAATAACAGTGACGAAAATAAAAAGGTTGGTTTTATTTGTATTATATCGTATTTATTTAATAAAAAAAAAAATTTTATTAATTTAAAATTTATTTTTAGACAAGGGTTGCATTATTTTACGACCCAAGAAATCTTCCATTTAATAATTTACCAAGAATTATATTTGATAGAGGTAAATTAATATTTAAAAAACTTTTTTTCATATATATATTATCTTTCATACTAATGATTATGTTTTTATCTTTTGCTTTAAAAAATTTTAAATAGTATATGATGATGTGATTATTCTTTATTTAACTATCAAATCTCTTCTTTATACTTTTTATGTATTTCCATTGATAGTTTTATTTAGAGTTACAAGTAAAATATTAGATAAGTCTAAAAATAAATTTATGGAAATTACTTCTGAATAAATTTTTTTTTTTTTTTTTTAAAAAAAAAAAAATAAATTCAGCTTAATATGTAAGAATATTTTTTTTTCTGCTTACTATTGATAGAGAATAATAATGTTAATGTTTCTCTCTATGGATTTTTTAATAAATTGCAAAATATGAGTAAATGAATATTTTTTTTTAAATTTTAATTTATTTAAGATAAAAAAAAATGGCTTTACAATAATCTTCATGAAATGAATTGGAGAAAAATAATTAAATCATTTAAAATATTAGCTGGCGCCACTGCTTATTGCTGGCTTTTGTTTAATAATCATAATCATAATTTCATTGGGATTTTTGTTTAAAAAAATTTAAGGAATACTTTAGCCTTGAGAGCTTGATAGTTTAAATGGCTGGAATAAACACGTAAGTAACGATAAAAGTAGTTAATTTCATTTCATGTCGTAAAATTAAAATAACCTTTATTAGAGATATCACAGCGCACGATGATGGCATTTAAATCTCGATTCGAAATAGAAGATTTAAGTTACGTAGTAACGTATTGTAGGATGACAGGTTGATGAATATTTTGGGAGCGAGCTTATGATGCTGAATGTAAATCGGGTCGGGATATATTACTAGTGTCCAATAACAAATAATTTTTTTATGATATTTGGGATGATGCATCAGCTTATTTATAATCAAATAGGAAAAATCATGGGTGGGAAGTTGAAGAAATTTAAAATTTGCATTTTTGAAAGGGATCGTTGGGTTACAAAAGTATTAAAAGAAACTCGTAAAATTGCAACAAATTTTATTTAACGATTCAAAAATTTTAATGGCAATTTATGGATTCACTAATAATATAGAACATCAAGTTTACACGTTCATGTATTCGTTACGCGTCTTTCATGATTGATTATGAAGCGAACTCTGTGTTGAGATTAAATTTCATTGGAACGAGATTTAATGGCGAAGTTACTCAAATTAATATCGAACAACTTTTCACACATCCACCGGATTATTCAGACGTTGAAGTTATCCTTAGTAGAGATTATGATAATAGAGTGATTTGTTGTTTAAATTTATTATGATATTAATAAAGATCAATTATGGACGTCTTGGCTATTCTCAACCATCATCCTTTGCCCTTTTAAAAATTGTTAAAAAAAATATTTAATCTATTTATTTTTACAGAAAAGTCATCTGAATTGCGCAATATCAATGTCTGCTGGCAAATAAAGACGAATTTTGTTATTTTTAAATGAAAGCGAAAAAATTGACGAGTACAGATTTTTTGAAACAAAACTGGATACGTAAATGGTGATTAATAATGAACAATGAATTATGATATTTACAATTCATACAATAAACATAAAATACTTTTGGGATAAAGATGATTGGAAAGAATCGAGACAATTTTTTATAACATTGAAGACGAACGAGAACTTTTTTGTGTAACAGCTAAAGGATTTGTCAGATAAAGAAATCCTTCCTCCATTGAATTTTGAAAGGATTTTTGAAAAATATGAAATAAGCTACATTTCAGATAAATTTTCGAAATTAAAAATCTGAATCTTTGTAATTTTTTTTTTTTAAGTTATTTACTTATTAAAACATATTGGAAGGTTTGCTAGGAAAATGGGGCTCTGGGAATTTTTTAACAAAATTTTGTTTTTTATTGCATTTTAGTTTTTGATGTTATTAGATTAAAATGTAATAAGGCCTTAATTTTAGTCAAAAAAAATTCCCAGAGCCCCATTTTCCTAGCAAACTTCCCATATGAGAAGATTTCTGTTTAAGGAGGTCCTTATAACCATTTAAGTGACGTTGTAACTGTTGTAGAAGTAGAAGGAAATTTTCAATTATCAATTGAATAGGAAAGATACCGATATATAGGATTGTTAAATTTAATTTCTTTATTTTTATCTCAATTACAGGAAGATATTTTTTTAATATTGTTGATTCTGACATTCCTTCATTCCATAGGTTTATCAGAGATTAACATACTTTCATAAAACAATTTTTTTTCCCATATATGTTAAATTTCGCACTTTTTATGGCAAATTTTATATTGTTTAAGAAAAAGAGAAATCAAAATCAAAAAGTTTAAAACTAGGTAAATTTTCAATAGTTTTGGTTAGTGTTTCAATCCCAAATCCGAATATTAATTCAGATTAAAAATAAGGATAAAGGATTTTAAATAACATATCCCTCATAATAAAGAAATGCTTTTATTTATTTTTTATATTTGTTTGATTATAATAATTTAATGAAGGTCTTTATAAAATTCTTTTATTTAAATTTATTATTCAAATACAGTACAAGAGTATAAAAACCATTATTAATATATCAGATATAATTTTTAGTTCATTGTCTTTTAAATGATTCAATCAGATACAAAAACTTTCATAATCTTTATATTACGCTTTAAGAAAAGCATTTTAATCACTAATGCAGAATTAAAATGATTTCTAAGAGGAGAAATAAGATGTTTGATATCTGAAAATAAGCATTTATTTATTACAGAAATAGCAGGTATAGCCAAAGACTTCTGAGCAAGTTGAGAAAGAATTGGAAATTTTTATGCATTTTTTCTTTACTATTCTAATGAATTTTTCATTTCTAAAGATATTAGCATTGTTAAATATTTTAATATTTCATTTTCTTTAGAAAGACCATTTGATATTTTTCTTTTATCAAAACAATTTTTAAAATTGCTTATATGAACGTGTATTTTTATTTAAATTAAAAGAAAAATCTCTATTTGATGTAAATATATCTTTTATTGATTCATAATCATTATATAATACAGTTTTTTTATCTCTAATTTCTAAACAATTCAAATTTTTGTAATATAAATCTAATAATAAGGTTAAATAACCAGCATCATTTAAAGTATCCTAATAATAAATTAATAAATAATATATATTTTTACCTTAATCTTATTTAAAATTCCTGATATATCTAAAGAATTTTGATTAAAACCTTTCTTTTTAAATAATTGCTAATTACTACTTCATTATCAACTTCAATTATTAATGATTCAATAATTTCTTCACTGTATTACTTTTTGAAGAATCAATAGATAAATATATTAAAAATCAGCTAGATTAAAGATCAATACTTTAATAGTACAGTCAACTCTTGTTATAGCGAACTCTTGTTATAACGAATTTTTTGAACAAATATAATAAAAATACTCTTGTTATAGCGAATTGGCCAATCAAATCTCTTAAAATCTTCACTATAGCCTTATAGCGAAGTTGAGGTCTAGGACATAGAGTTCGTTATAACAAGAGTTGACTGTATCTATTATTTTACTTAAAGTAATATATATTTTGCTTGAAAATTTATGAAAATAGCATTAACAAAGTAATTAATTGATCTATTAGTTACTATTTTTATCTGAAAGTAAAATATTTTATCATCTTTTTTATTTTTATTATTAATTAATATATATAAATCAGTTTAAAGTTGAATAATAACATTTTTAAGAAAAAAAAATAATATTATGTATAATACATAGAATTTTAATAAATTGAAATATCTCATATTTGAGTTTTTCTTTAACTTTAATTAATCATTTTACTTGTTTTTGAGTTTTAAATAATCTTATTAATCTTTTACTTATACTATTAAAATATTAATCTTTTACTAATGTTAAATTATAAAGTATGACTAATGTATAATATATTTTAAAGATTAATTTATTCAGATTTTTCTTAATAAATAAAAAGTTGTAATAATATTTATGCCATTATTAATAGTAATAAAAGTAACACAATTTTCTAAATTTCAATTTAAAATATACTTATAAAATGAATTTACAATAATTTCTGTTATGTAAAACGCAAAAATATATGTAATATTTAATATAACATTTTTATCTTAAAGTTTGATATATAGTATTCTATATAGCAGTTATTTCTAAATAACCATATTTTAATTAACTTGATTAAAAATCTGAAAGAAATATTTTGTAAAGTTTTACAAATAAGATTCTGAAGAATCTGTTAATTATAATTATAATTTTTCCAATTATAATATAAATTTTTTTTCTCTTGATATAACAAATGCTAGATTAAATTTAGTTATATTTTCTTTATATGCTTTATATATAATAGCAGAGAGAAGTTAGTTTGTTTTTAACATCTACTTTAATATTAATTTTTTATATTATCTTTAAATATTTAAAAGATGTAGCTGAATATTCTATATTCATACCTAAATAAATTTGATTATAATTAATATTAACAATTTAATAATAAAATATAAATAAATAATTATATACTTTTTTTATTATTATTAGAAAAATTTGGTATGTTTCAAGGTATTAAAGAAGATTTCTGATTAAATTATCTATATTCATTAAGATTTTTTACAAGAATTTTTTTTTTATTTAAGAATATATATACATATATTCATTTTACTAACAGATTATACATGAAACTAAAATTAAAATGATCAAAATGATTACAAGGATTAAAATTGTCGAAATTGATTTTGACTATTTGTTAAAAAATTTGAAAAATCAAAATTAATTGCAGGGATCAAAATATATTATGAGGGTCAAAATCAGTTGTGAGAGTTGAAATACATAAAGCCAATCAGAATTACTGTATGATTACGTGCCATTACATAAATTTAAAAAGAAAATTTTTATCCTCATAAAAATTGAACTACTAGTATTATAAAACTCTTAAAAAGGAAATTCTATTATTAATCATTTAGTTTAGGCTAAAATAATATAATAGAAATGAAACAGATAAATTTTATCAGAATTAAACAAAAAGAAAAAGCGAATTAGATAAATAGATTTTACTAAAATTAATAAAAAGTTAGTCTAACCAGATATAAATATAGTAAAATGTGAAGAAAGTGAATCACTTCTTACAAAAGATCATGCCTTTTTATTTGTCACCGTTTATGTCACATATGTATGTAACTATGTATATCATTTTATTTTTTGGCAATACCCATTCCACAAAAAATTGATTTTGATAAATTTTATTATTACACATAAATATGTTGTATAATATCACTTACTAAATATAAAAATGATTATTATATTAGAATATAATTGATATTTTAACTATCTTAATTAATTTTGACCCTCGTAATGTAATTTGATTCTCGTAATTAATTTCAACTTTAATTTTGGCCATGACCTTAAAGTCAAAATATTTCAACTTTTAGATTTTAATTTCAGTTTTATATATATAATAGATAGGACTTGTATTTTTTTTTATTAAATAATACTAAATTTATATTCTTTAACTTAAAGAAATTCAAAAACTATCAGCAGAAAATTCATTAATTTCAATATAAAGTTTTGAATTATTTTTCATATTAAATAATTTAAGAGAGAGTTATAAATAATTTAAAAGATAATTATAAAATTAATTTAAGAGAGAGTTATGAAAATCTTAAAATTATTAAAATTATTTTATAATTAATTAGTAAAATAATTAATAAATTTATTATTAATATGAATTACAATCTGAATTACAATCCTTTTATATTTATTAATTCAGATCACAATTTTTTTAAATTTATTATATTTAGATCATCTTAATTAAACTTAGATAACAAATTAATTCAAATAATTTAAATAAGAATTGAAATCCTAGTTTTGATTATTTCTTTATTAAAATTTATTAATTATAATACAAGTTATAATTTTTTAAAGGATTTTATTAGATTAAACTTAAATAGATTTATTGAAATATATTATGATTTATATAAAAAATAGAATATTAAAGCTTTTTTAATAAATGAAAATATTATTTATATATTATGAGTTTTATTTATTATATTTTTACTTATAGCTATAATTTTATCTTTATCAAATTCTTTTAAAAGAACATAATTACTATCATTTGATTTAGATTAAACTTTTAAATTTAAAATATGTTAATTTAAAGTCATATAATTATTTTTATGATTTACAAAAGATTTTAATATTAGTATAAGTTATCTCCTAATAATCATATCAATTTATTAATTATTTATCAGAAAGATAGGCTTTAATTATTTTTAATTTATTTCTCAATTTAAATTCTTATTATATTTTCATATTTTTGAATTATATAAGTATTATTTTACTATTATTCTTAATATTACATTTAAAATTTTTTCTTTTTTATAATATTATTATAAGTTTTAATTATACATTTTATATTATGTTTAGAATAGAATATACATTTTCTTTAGATAATTCAATGGTTATCCTTAGAATTTAACTGATAAATTATCATATAATAAATTCTAATAATATTTTAAGTAAAATTGAAACATCTATAAATACAAATATGTTTTTTGATTACAATCTGCTTTATTATTAATATATTTATTTCTTATAGATAGGCTAAAGAAAATTTTTTTTTATATTATTTATTTTAAAATAATTTCTTAATATATTTATTTTAAATAATAGTGATCATGAATTTACTTAATTTTTGTATAGGTTAAGAAAAAATAAAATATTTAATTTATAACCATTATATTAAATAATAAACTTATTTTTAAAGCTACATTAATATTTATATACTTTTAGCTTTAATAAAGTATTAAACCAATAAATTTCAAATTTTTAATTATTTGTTTATTTATAATCTAAATATAATAGATTATAACATTTTTAATTATTTTATATAATGAATTTATTACTCAATTTTCTGTATTTTCTATTTAATTCAAAAATAAAAATTAATTATAATTTTTTAAAAAAAAATTATCTATATACTATATATAGATTTTAGCAGAATTAAACTAGTATTTTTACAAGATATTGAAAAATATAATTTTTAAATTAGATATAAGATTATATAGTACATCTAGTAATATTTGACTAGCCTATTTTTATTATAATTAAACTTTTATCAAATTTTGTATTTAACTAAACTTTTGACTAAAGTTTAAATCTTTGATTAAACTTTTATTAAATAACTAAATTGAAATTCTTTTATAATATTGCAACGTAAGAGATCTACAAAAATAAAAAATCATATGATATAATAAAAATAATCTGCAAGAAATTGATATAAAAGATCATTGAAATTAGCTGAGTGATGATCAACTTAGATATTACACAAAGCTCTAAAATAAAATAATCAATAAAGGAAGATGAAATTATTAGTCATAATGATATGTGATATAAGCCTAAATAGGTATATCAAAGGAAGGCTCTAAGAGGGGGAGGAAATGTAATAATAATAAAATAATAATTAAACATTTTTATAGTCATTAATTATAGAATAATTACAAAACAATTAAGTAGTTATTACTTCGATATGATAAGAACATTACTCATTAATAAGAAAATAATTACATAATTATTCTATAATAAAATAGGAATTAGCTTAGAAATTTTATTATAAATAGCTATTGAATTTTATTATATAAAAAGCAACTTTTTGAGATTGAAGTTTAAGAATATAAAACTTGCAATTCTTAAGAAGTTGCATTTATTTATCTTCAATAAAATAATTTTAAAATAAATAAATCTTTGAAGTTATAACTTTTGTTGTTAAAACATATCTTTGACTATGTTTATTTTATTTGTTAACAAGCGTTTTTACAAATAAAACTTTTAGAATTGTGAATTTTAATAGAATAAAGAAATATTCTTTTTTATTGATATTTTTATTTAATTATTGTACTAGCATAGTATCTTTAGTTAATCTTGAAGTAATTTAAGAAGTTTTTGAAGATTAAGTCAGTAAAGTCTTCATACTTTCTGACTTAAAAACTTAAATTATAAAGGAACACTGTAATGAGATTTTGAGAAAGAACATATGACACCCTTTCTTAACATTCAAATTAGAAATTTAAGTAAAGATTCTTCTAAACGAATTTGAGTTTGAACTAAACTCTACTGTTGCTTAATCAGTTAAGTATTTCAGTCTGCCTAACTAACAGTTAAGTAATAATATATAAATTATAAATTTTATTATTAAAGAATATATTATTATTTAATATTTATTAATTTTAATTTAAATCTTTTATTATTTATTATTAATTAAATATATAATCAAAAAATATTACTAATTAATATTATAAATAATAATTAATTTATAGTAAATAAAATGTATTAACTTTTTATTATTAAAAACTAAATAGTTTTAGTTTTATCAAATAATTAAATATTTCAATTTTATTTGATATCATTAAATATATATACTTTAAATAAAAATTTTTTATTTTTTCTAATCTATTTAATATATATATATTTATTTATTTATTTATTTATTATAAACTTCTTGTATTGATATAGAAAAAGATAATTTAATATTTCTTATTATTAGTCAAAACTTAAAAATTCGATAGATATACATTTAAATTAATTGATAAGAAAGATTATATAATTAAATTAAAAATTTTTTATATTAAAAATTTATTATTAACCTATATATATTTACTTTTAGTAATATTAAATTTAATAAATATTATAAAATTTATCATAAAGAATAACTTTAATTATTATAATTTTTATATTTATTAAAAAAATTTTATAATTTTTATTAATAATAAGTGACTTAATTAGTTTGTAAATATATAAATTTTAAAGAAATTTTTAAAAAATTATTAAAATAAAATTTTAAAACTTTAAAAAATTTTTTAATAAACTTAAAATTTCTTATAATAAAATTAATAAAATATATATATTAAATAGTCTAAATTAAATTAAAAATTTAGTTCAAATTTAAACTGATTTATAATTTATAATATTATATAATATCTCAATAAGAATAAATTTTTGATATTCTAATACTAATAATTTATTATTATATATATATAATATATATATACTTTGCATAATATTAATTAAAATATTAAATAAATATTCCAGAATATTATAATATAACTAACTATTTTTAGATTAAACTTTATTTAAAAGTTTTAGCTTAATATATAAAATAATTTATTAAGAATTATTTAAAAATAAAAAAAAAATAATAGTTTTTATTTTTATAAAAGATTTTTTATAAGAAATAAAATAAATTTAATAATATAATAAAGTCATTTTACTTGAAATAATAAGTAATGATACTTATTAAAATTATTTTTATTATCATAAATTTATTTTGAATTTTGAATTTAATTATAAGTTTTATTATATAACTTGATTTTTTTAAACATCAATTTTATTAAAATTTTAGTATTTATATAATATTTATATACAATATAAATTGTTAAAAAGTTTAGAGTAATAAATATAAAATGATCACAAGTTATAATACAAATGATTTAATCAATCAACAAAAGGGTATACAAATGTAGTAAATAAAATCACATTGACTCAAATAATAAGTAGGCAGACAAACTGACAAATTTATTAAGTTGTATACTATTTAATAATTCTCTACTTACATTTTAGATTAATTAATTTAATTAATTTAAATTTTAAATTTATCAATATAAATAATTATAATTATGATTTTAATTTTAATTATATTTATTAATATTATTAATTAAATTAATAACTTATTTATAAATTTTTAATTTAACAATTGATTAGTTAAATTTTTTATTTAATAAATAAATATAATTTTTATAAAAAAAATTAATGTTAATAATATTTAAATTATTAAGTTAATTATTATATATATTTATATTTTTTATTAAAATTCTAAAATATTTTAAAATATTTAACTTTATATAAAAGTAAAATCAAAAAAATATTAAAAGTAAATAATATTAAATTTTTAAAATAAATGTTTTTTAAAAAAAAACATTTAATATTTTTAAATTATTAATATAAATAAAATCAATATATAAAATTTTATATTAAATCATATTATATAAATTTATATTATGTTAAATCATATACAATCAACCTTTTATATAGTTATACTTCTAAGAACCAAAAAAATTTGATATGATTATAAAATAGTTATATAATGTTGACTATAGAAGAGGATTTTTAATTATTTTTTATTTATAAATTTTATTAAAAATAAGATTAAAATTTATAAATAATAAAATATTTATATAAATAAATTTTATAAATAAAAAACGCATTTAAATAAAGTTTTAAATTTGTAATTTAATAATAATATACTATAATTATATAAAATAAAATAAAAATATATTTTTATTTAAATAATAATATTTACAAAATATTTAATTGTATTTTACAGAAATTTTTATTCAAAAAAATTTATTTTTTTTATAAAATAAAAACTTACTTTAAATGTTTTTAAATAATGTTACTAATTAAAAATAAATATATAATAACATTATAAAAAAAAAAATTTTATAAAAAAAAATGCAAACATTTTTTGTTTTTTTTTTATGTAAATTAAAAGAGATGAAAAAAAATTGTTATGAAATGAAATTCTAAAATTATTGGTACTTTAAAATAAACGTATGTACTTTATATATCAGGGTAATAAATATTCAATAACTTTTTCAATAGCTTTTTCAATAACTTCTTTTATATACTTTTCGTCTTTTTTTTTTTTAAAAAAAAAAAAAAAAGATAAAATAAAAAATAAAAAAATTCAAATCATTAATAAAGTAATTAAGAATTAATAAAATGTTCACAAATAAAATTTTGAATACATACTTTCAGTAGCGACAGGACCGATAGAAGTATTTTCTAAAAGACTTACATCCCTCGCCTCAGGATGAGACTTTAAAAATTCGTTACGAGCCTTTGTAGCAGCTTCCCTGATAACCTTTTCTTCGTCTTCAGTTTTATATAAATCACATTTATTACACTTCTTACATTTTTGACCTGGTATAGGACGAAAATGATCACAAACTGTAAATATCAAAAGGAGTTAAATCAATATCAATATCACATTAAAAAAAATTTAAACATTAATTCAAAACATAGATCGACTTACAATGAGCGTAAGATTCTTGTCGTAAATCTTTTCTACATAAATAGCACATAACGTAACCACATCTACATGTCATTTTATTACATCCATCAGCTTTTGTGAACGATACATGACATTTTGGACACTATATTCCGAAGTGAAAAAAAAATTTTTTATTATTACCACGTACGGGAAAGAAAATTTTTTGTTGTAAAATAATTACTTACAGTTCGTTTAACAGCTTCTGCCATAGCTTTTTCTACGAAAAGACGTAAACTATCTTGCTCTTGTTCGTAACATTTGTGAAAAGGTCTACATTCTTTGTTACACAACAAACAAGATACTTTACCACAAACGGGATTCTGACATTTAAATATATTTCCCCTACGTCTCCTCTTCACCTAAAAGTTATTTGCAAATGCGTCAATTAATGAATTTTTTTCTTTATAATCAAAAAACAAGAAAAGAAACATAATATTCATACCCGTTTAACGATGTTATCGAATTCATCGATCCAAGTTTTAAGTGGATAAACACCCATCATACCCAAAACAATTTGAGGAAGAATGAATATAGCTACAACATTTAAAGCGGATAAAATGATTTCAACACTGGTGAATAAGGGCAAGACGGCTATAGGTAAGCTAGCCAATAAAATAAGAGATTTCGGGACCTTTAATTGTTTAAAGGTAATTAAGTCATCATCATCAGCCTCACAATAAGTACAAAAAGGACATTGTACTAAAGACAAATTTGATTGTTTTAATGAATGTTCTATCAAAGAATCTAGATAATTTTTAAATATATCAGGACTAAGGGTTGCATTTAGTTGATCATCAGTAAAGTAACCATCACAGCCTGAAGGTTCAATACATTTGATTTGTTTACCACGTAGAGAACCTTGACCAAATAAACCTTCTTGCACCAAATGATTAATACAATCTTTACAGAATAGATGACCTTCATTACAACAAGTTAAGTCTTCAAAAGGATAATCACCATAACAACAACCACAAGTTATTAGCTGTTCATTCTTTGTATATTCGGTGAAATTCACTTGTTTTGCTATTTCATAATCAGCCTTTGATTGTTCCTCTAATTTAATCGCATATAATTTTTGTATTTCTTCCATTAATTCAATATTTTCAACTTCTTTGTATAATTTTCTACGGAATACACTAAATAATGAATTCCACCAATTATTTGTTGCTAGCTCTTTTAACTTTTCTAAACTTTTTTTATAATCAAAATTATTTTCCGCCAATACAGCTTTTATAGTGGAGCGCCAAGTATCAGGAAAATCATTATATAATTTGTATCTAACAGCCTTCCTATAACTTGGTGATCTTATTAACTCCCAAGGTTCAATAGTAAATGGATTCATTCTACGAGGATATCCACCTTTATCGGCTGTCCTCTCCATATTTAATAATTGTTCGATAATTTGTTGCAAATGGCTATGATTTACATTACATAGTTTGTCTCTTAAAAATCCCACATCGCACTCTGGGAACAATTCATTAATTTGTAATAAAAAGGCGTTTTTCGCTTTTGTGCAATTTGCAGCCTTACAACCGTCAGGTATCTTTGGATAATGTCCCTTATTTTGATTAAATATTTTTTCACTAATTCTTTCCACATGATTATCTTGATAACACCCAATACAGTATTTTAAATATTCTTGATCTATTTAAAAAATGGAAAGAAAATGGAAAAGGTGTTGAATGACTAGGAAAAGAAACACTTTTTTTTTTAGGAAAAAAAAAGGAAAAGGAAAGAAAAACATCACTTATTTAATAATCAAACCTGCATTGGGAAATAAAGCGACCAACTGCTCGAGAATAGCGTCTTTTTGCACATTAGACGAACTATTCGAATTTTCACCACCACTCTTAAACGAACTAAACAAACTATTTTTAAACATGTTTCAAAAAATTATCTTTTTTCAAGAAAGGTTACGTGAAAGTTATATCATATGAATAATATATAATACGGGTATATCAACAATTTTTGTTTTTTGTTTTTCAAAAAAAAAAAAAGTTGGGGAAAAATAAAATAAAGTAAAAGAGAATTGAAACTTTTTTAAAAACATTTGAAAAAATGACGGAATTGTTTGTTAAATATGGTAATATTGGTCAGTATCATGCTTTCCTGAGTATTATTATACATAAGTAAGTGGGTCATATGCTCAACTTAAACTTAAAATAGAAATGCGGGGTTGAATGTCATTTGACTTGTGTAAATCATATCATAATGAATATATGAAAAATGTAAAATTTCACGATAAGATTCATATGATTATGTTAGCAGTTAATTTCCTTTTATATGCGTTTTGTTAATCTGGTTTTAATTTATCTACAAAAGGAAGATAAAGAAATAAAAAGGTAAATGATTTGGAAACTTTCACCTCAAAAGAACCGTGCCTTTTTTTATCCTTTCTTGGTTTTCTTTTACGTGTTTGGTAATATGATTGTTTGTGATAAACATGGTTTAGCGCAGAAATCAAATGGTTACGTTGTAAAAATTTCCTAGAAGTGGTTCGAACCCAAATTTTAAATGGACTATGAAAGACCCTTCAAAAAAAGAAAGTTACAAAGTAACGGCCGAGATCACGTGATTCCTAATGCATACAATGCATAATGCATAATACATTAATACTTTTCCAAATGATGTGTATATGTTTGTATAACAAATAATAATCCGGAATTAAGATCTCCGATGGAATTCTGGCCCGAAGGTTGGTCTTTTGAACCTTTATATACAAGCCAATATCGGGACTACTATTTCAAGTGTTCATAATTAAAATCAAGCTTTTTTCTTCCAAAGGCTGTATTTATTTATCAATTTATTATTTTAAGGAGGCCGAACCTCCTTATAAAATACATAATGGTTTGTGATACAAACGATGACAGAATTTGTTCAACCATTTCACTGCGAAAAATTAGTCTTATTTGTAAGACAAACAGTAATTTTTTATATTATTTTTGTTATTTACAAATGAAATTTGATTAAAATTTAACACTGATCTACATCTGTAAGTTAGGTCGCCTAATCAATATGTCACATCTATTTAATTAAAACCTAGTTCTCATTTCCTTTTTTTTTTTCTATTTTGTCCATCCTATTCTCGTAGTTCTTTTTTCTTTTTTTTTTTTTTTTCTTTTTAAAAAAAAATTTTAGAAAGACTCTTTTCGTTGCAATAACTTTTTAATTTTATGTAAATAAACATACTATAAAAAAGCCTATAACTTTAAAGAATAAATGATACTGCAAAGACTTGTATTAAAAAAAGAGAACATAAAAAAAAACTGCGGTTTTGCACGTTCATGAAATCATCGGACAAAGAACCCATTTAAAATCAGGTTTAACCCCAACATTACCATTTAGGTTCATCAGATAATGTCTAATAATCAACGGGAAGAGTCAATCACATCACGAAATGTCGATGATAGGGAAGGGGAAATGGGAATTGCATATACCACTGACGAAGTTGATTATCTCGACCATTTTAGTAATAATAATCAAAATCCGGTAGAGTACTTGGAATTTCTTGCAACACAAGAACCTTATTCCCCTAAAAATTTGTCTTTAAATCAAGATTCATTTCATCAACCCTCAAATTTCCAACAACAAGAACAATTTATTGGTTTAAGGGGTGGTCCAGCTTTATCGAACGTACATTATGTTATGTCTCCTGATGACACGCGACAATTTTTACCTGATAACAACATCAATAATAATTATAATCCTTATTTCCCTCCCACGCAACAAATAAATATGTACAATAATCCCTTATCATTATCCCCATTAGATGAAGTTGTTCAACATAATGCTGCCCCTTATCCAGATCAATCGGAATCTTATCAGATTGAGGTGGTTGATATGGATGATGATACTAGTTCTCCATTATGTTCACAAGAAGAGCATGATAATCAGCAAATTAATCAAAATCAATTTCAAAATCAGATCCCGCAACTTTCAAATCCATCTAATAATGATAATAATAATAACGAGAAAGTTGATGAAGCTTCTTCACCGATTGATCATTCTACCGTTACTCCATCTCCCCTTAGCTTACCTAGTCTATTGCTTTCAAGGAATCGTTCAAGGATTTCAACTCCAAAGGTAGAGGTCTCCCTAAATTTACCCAGTGCCTATACCGCTCAAGTGCAACAAAGTGATTCCCCATTACGTTCAGAATTCAGAAAGAGTGATTTAAATAATAATAATAATGATATCAATGTCCATAAAGTTAGATTGAGTGAAATATTAAATGAGAAAAGATTATCTGATCAAAAATTAGTCTCAATAATGAAAAACAATTCACCTCACAATCCTCAAAATGAATCTATAGTGAAATTCGATTTTCATAATGCGACTGGTGATCCTGACGACCCTCTCTTAAATAATGATAATATTTCGGGATCTATTCAATTGCAAGAAGAAGAACAACGACGATTACCAACTGGTTTATTAAATGGAAATTCAATTGAAAATAATAATATGATCAATACTTCAAATAATATACCTAATGCTTCATACCAACATTCAAATGTTCTACAACCCATTTCTTCCATATCTCCTACTTATCCGATTCCTCCCACATCTCATATTACTCAAAAACCTTTAATTGCTAATAAGAATGATGAAGGTCAAAATCATGATGCAGTCGAAACGACTACCAATATAGAAACCATAGAGAAATTTTATAAACCGAAACAAGGGACTATTTTTATGCTCATTAACGTTTTTACGATTGCTGCCATTGTCTTTGTTAGTAAGTATTTTATAGAGGTTAATTAAGAAAAATTTTTCATTTCTTTAACTGACTTTCTTTTATATTTGTAGCATGGAGGTTGGGAGCGTGGGGAATTGGACAAGCTAAAGGAATTTATGGTACGCTACGGGTATTGGGATTATAACAACATTGACCTCCATTATTATTTAAAAGAAAATCAAATGTTTATAAAGGCCGACTATAAGTTACCATGTATTTCTTCCCCACTCCATAAAAAATTTTTAATAAAAATAATTATGTACATAGTGTATTAAAAAATATTAAATTAAATATTATTAGGTAACTTTTTTTTTTTAAAAAAAAAAAAATATTTTGTAATTATATATTTAAAAAAAAAAAGAAAAATTTAATAATAATAATTCGCGCGTAAAATTTATTTTTTGGAAGCCTTAATTTTTCGTTTATGCAAATTAACTTTTAAATACGGGTACTTGCCGGCAGTTTTCTAACAAATTTGAGTTTATTGCTATATTCTTTTTCCCGCGCGCATCTTATTTGAAAATTTTTTTTTTAATGGCTCTGTTCGTCAATGCGGGATTCAGCAATGACTGTCAACGAAAATTTTAAAGAAAATATCTTTTTCGGACCTTTAAAAGGAATTTTAACGCAAAATGGTAAGAATCTCGGTTAATAACTTAGTTTTCATTATCATATCGCATAGTATAAAACATTGAAATGTTTTATTTCTTGGTATTTGTCTCATGGACTCGCTGCGAATTCAGCCAATGAAGATATAAACCTTGTTGAAAGGTTTCGATTTAACATATACATGGAAATTTTAACAAAAGAGAAATTAGTGCGTATCAAAATTTATAAAAATGTGCTGTTGTTTACTAATATATTTGAGAAAGTTTCAAATAATTTGGAAGCATCGCCATCAAAATATTTAATTCATCTTACCAATAATCCTTTATCATATGACCAAATCAAATGATTAACATTGCATTTAATAATTATCGGCTTGGACTTTTATTTTTCAAATAACTGCAGCGAAATCAAACCTCTGTAAATTGCTAAGATATCATATAAAACGAAAAAAAATTGAAGTAATAAATATTTATAATGTATCATTTAAATTTAAACATCAAATTTTTTTTTACTTTTGTTTCATATCATGATAAATAATCCATTTTATGAATTTATTAGACTTAAAAAATATTATCAAAATTCTTATTTAAAGAATAAAAAAAAAAAGAATCAATTAATTTTCTACATACTTATAAAAAAAAAAACCTTTTTTTTTTGTTAAAATTACTAATACTAATTTATCAATATTATATATAATAAATAAATATGAATTTCTTTTTGCAATTTTTACTACATCTTATTTCATTTTTTTTTTAAAATATTACACTTGCTTTATCAGATAAAAGAATATGATTTTTTAATATTATTTTTATATATATTTCTTAAAGAATATATAATAATCAATTAAAAAATATAATATAAAATATAAAATCATGTTAATATTAAAATTGAATTTATATTTTTACTTTTTACTTAAAATGTTTAATAAATTATAAGTTGTAATTAATATTATTAAACTGAATTTGTGATTTAAAAGCAAATTTTAGTATAAAAAGAGTATTAAATAAATCAAATTTCTTTATATATTGAACTTTATAAGTATACAATAAATAATTTGATATATATATTTTTCTTAAAATTTTTTATTATTATAAAAATAAATATTTATAATATTATATTAATATAAAATTATTTAAAAATTATATTATTAATAAATTAAATACTCAAAATTATATAACTAAATAATATTAATAAATTTTTAACAAAAATTAATACTATTATTAATATTATTAAGAATAATTTATTAAATATATAGTATATTATCATATTATCAGTTTAGCATATCAAATTTCATTATTATATTTTATAATATATAATAAATTAATATAATTTTAATATATACTATATTAAGTTTTATATAATATTTAGTAATTAAGATTTTTTTTAAATACTATAAATAAAAATAATCCTTATAATTACTTTTAAATTTTAATTAAATACAATTTAATTATATTATAAGCAAATTTAATTGCAATATACAGTCAACTCTTGTTATAACAAACTCTATATCCTAGACCTCAACTTCACTATAAGGATATAGTAAAGATTTTAAGAGATTTGATTGGCCAATTCGCTATAACAAGAGTATTTTTATTATATTTGTTCAAAAAAT